AGACCCTGGAGTATACATGGCTGTACACATAGTAGGTACGCAATTGTCTGTTGAATTTAATAATCCAAAGCTTGCCTTTTAGATCCAGGCTATGAAAAAGTAGAAAAAGATTGAGATTAGGCAATGAATAAGCAGAAAAAAATTGAGATTAGATTGAAGTTGAGATTTGGCAATACCTATTAAGATTTAATTAGTATATATCAGTCCTTATATTTCCACTTCTTGGTATCTATACAAAAGAACTATTTGCATATGTGTGTAAGGACATTTGTATGTTTGTAAGGATATGAGTGTAAAGATATCTGCCTATGTGTACAGATATCAGATATCGGCAGGTCAACATTATTTACAATCTTCTTGGATTAGAAACTGCTTAATTGTCACTTGAGGAGTGACACAGTGAATATGGCACACACACATTAAGCAGCTTAAAAAAAAGGAAGGTCTTATAAAGTTGGAGCAATGAATCATATTACATATCTTGTATATAATACAAGATATGTAATTACATATCTTGTATATAATATGTAATTACATATTACAAAATTACATATCTTGTATATAATATGTAATGCAGAAGTTCCTAGAAGTATAGACACCAATGGAGAGCTGTGGTTCTGGGCTTGGTGTAGAGGTGGGGCCTGGGAAAGATGAGTGTTTACTTTCATCTACATCGTGTGAATGTTTTTTGAATAAAACATATTTAAGTTTCATTAAATTTAAAAAGAAACAAAACACAATAATCAAACATTTAAGACAATGATGATCAAACCTATTAAAATGTTACAAAGCAACAACTGGGCTAAATGTTAAAATAATTTTCCTACTTTGCTAAAAGTGTGTTTGTATATGTATGATGTGGGGATATATTTATACAGATACATCCTTCTACTATATGTATGCATAATATATATACACACATCTATAGATACTCACTACCACTACACTTGCAATAATAGAGTATAAATAAATACTAGTTTGATTAAATCATAGCTACATTCTTTATCACTATTCTCATTTAAAATGGCAAAAATGTCTCTTAATGATTATGATTGATCTGGTAATTGAATACAGTTTGCCTTTTAAATAATTCAATTAACTTTAGTAAATTAAAAATTTTTCTTTAATAGTAGCAACATGAAGAAAAAGCGAAGCACTGCTTTACAACATGTAGCATCTCTTTAAACGAAACCTTTCCGAGTGTGAAGAATGCATTTAGGTTTTATCAAATGAATGCTCTTTGTTAGCAAAACTGATCTAAATCATGATTTAAACCTGACAAGCACAGCAATCTTCCATTTGAGCAAAAATGTTGGAAACAGACAGGATGGGGTGGCAGAACTCTTGGGCCTCTGGAGATATCCCAGGAAACAAAAGCTGCCCTTAAGGAATTGCACAAGATTGACACCAACAGGAAATCCTTTCCAGACTATGTGAGACTGTAGATTGGGTGTTTAGTTCTATTGAGAGAAAGGGAAGCCACTGGGTTTTCTATTTACCGGGGGAACCAGCCCTGAAGATTCTCCAGGGTCTGTGCGTGCACGGCTGTCTGCAGGGGTGATCAAATCCTCCCCTTGCCCCGCAGGAAGAAGGCTGTCCGCAGACCGCAATCACACACCTGCCGGGCGCCAGATCAGCCCTCCACATGCGGAGACACTCGCCGGCGGCACAAAGCTGAGCTGGTCCACCCCGCCCCACCCCGGCCCAGTCCCTGCGGAACAAAGGGTGTGCGTGTGTCTTCTGCACCTCCCTGAGTCAGACGCAAGCACATGCCTTCCATCACAATTAACTCGAGAATCTGAAACACAACGCCAACTCACTCATGCCACGCTCAGAATCAATGCCATCAATACCCAGAACCAGGATACCGAAAAAAACGAAACAAAACAAACCTATTCAAAGAGTAAATACTCAAAGCAACAGGGCTCCCATCAGACACACTCCAAGGTCAACAAATCCAAGACAAGTTCAAGTGAAGGGGCCCCTTATAAACTGAAGAAGCCATTTCCCCCAACTAAATGCCTGGGGGTCTAGCTAATGGAAGGTTCTGTGAGATAATGAAGAGTGGGTCTCTGTGAGCCAGGCCACAGGTGCCCCAGGTAAAAGCATTCACATTGCATTTTTTAAAAATTTCAACTCCTGCTCCATGTGATCACTTAAACAGCATCTACAATCAAAGAAGGAAGGAAACAGGGGGCTTAAGGAGAATGAGCCAAAGTCAGGAACAACTGCTGCCAGGGCGTCCTCCTTCATGCAGGGCCCCGCTGAGCCTGGTGTCATTGTAGGGAAGGTGCAACCCTTCGAGTTTACATCTTCAAAGGCAATCGCAAAACAAAAGCTAACGGCAATGGCTTAAACTCTTATGGGGGACCAGGTTAGTCACACAGAGTTTTGATAGACGTGATTGAGCTGGACCACAGAAGTAGCACGTGTGCCCTTTGGAAGGCTCTAAAGAAAAGGTGCCTCTGGAAAGCTAGAGGTGTGGCCTTACTGGGAGTCAAGGCGGGGACCGAGTGACCTCCCAAGGTCCTGATTTAAATACGTCGGTAGAGTCAACCCTGCTTATCCAGCCCAAAGGAGAAGACAGTGACAAATCATCCTAAGCTGAAGATAATAAAAAGTTATATTTGCCTTTGGAATGTATTTCGGTACTTAAATTAGAACATGTCTTTCTGACTCTCTGAGAATTCACAATGCTTCACAACAGCCACAAAGAAGGCCTGACCTGGCGCTGGGAAGCCACCCAATTTCGCCATCCTGTCCTCCGTGTAACTCTTCTTTGCTAGGGCTGAGACTATCGCCTTTCACTACGGCGTCCAACAGCCCAAGCAGCCTCGGACGGACGGGGCTGCCTGGCCCAGGGCTGTCCCTGGCCTCAGACTGAGAGGGGGGAAGCCCTCCTGTGACCTGGTCTTGCATCTGGAGTCCAGCTCCAAAGTGCTGAGGGAACCGCGGGCAACATCAAACCCAGGTAACTGCTCCTGGTGATCACACCTCTCTCCGACAGAGGACACTAGAAATTAGAAAGCTAATTTCTTGAGCTCTGTGGAAGAGAAAGAACAGACTTCAGTAAAAAGGAAGCTGAGATGAATGTCTGGCACTTGGAACGAAAGCAGCTGCACACGTGGGAGAGGCACATCCCGAGACGGAGGGACAGAGACATCCCGGGATGGAGGGACGGGACTGCCATGTGAGCCCAGTGCCGAGATGCAAGGCGAGTGGCTCGCAGGAGTCCCTGGAGGACTGGGAGGAGGAGAGGCCGGCTGCCCTCTGTGCTCAGTCAGCTCCCAGGACCACCAGGGCAAGGCGGGTGTCACCTAGCAGAAGGCGGCCCAATCAGACCATTCCGGAAAGGTGTCAGAGTCCTTTAACCAGAGACTCCAGCAGAGAGGCAGCATTTGCCCCGGAGGGCCTCTCTGATTCAGAGAGTGACTGGGCAGTCACGGCCGAGCACAGCCAAGCTCTTGGCCCCTCAGGCAGGATGTGTTATTACAACCATTTTTATTTTTCCCTTTTCATTCTGAAAACCCCAAATTTTCTTGTTTAAATATGGCTATATAATTAAAATGAAATAAAAGTAAAAATTCAGTTTCTTTGTCACAGTAGCCACATCTGGAGGCCCCACAGCCACACTGGACAGCGCCAGCCTGGAGCACACCCATCTTATCCAGAGCCATCTCCGGGGTCACACACAAACCTAGGAGGATTCTACAATCTAGTACCTACTGGCCATGGAGTAGTAGAAATAAAAGAAGAAATGCACTGTACGAAGTTTCTTTTCTAGGTATCATCAACACTGTCCTGTGGTAGACAAGGGGGTAGATTTCACAGCCTGTTTCAGAGATGAGGAACGTGGTACCTTGCACGAGGTTCACCGCTGGGTGGCATGGTTGAATTAAAACCAGGTCTTCCAATTCCAAGGACATAACTACTGTTTATGCAATTACCGCAAATAATGTTACCTGCCAGTTATTGTGTTCAGGGCTGCCTCAAGACTCAGGTCTCCCGGAATGAGGCTGACAAGTCGCTATAGTGCTTCTGCTCACTGGTTATTAAAGTGATAACTAAGCTTTGTTCAATGAAGTTTAGTAGCTCTGGAGGTAGGGAGCTTTGGGGTTCAAATCCTGATTCGTCCACTTATATTTATTGACAGAGGGCAAGTCACTTTGCGTCTTGGAATCCTAATTTCCTTTTGTTGTGTACTTGCTTTGTAGTGTTACCAGGAGGGTTAAATAAAGCAGTGCACCTGAAAGGCATCGTACAGCCTGGTACATACCGTGCTCGGTGTCAGCCGGGACTGCCAGGGTTTACAATGCACTGTCACATGCGAGGACCTTCAGAACAAGAAGGCATCACCATTTTACAGCTGGTACATCTTGGCGAGTAAGAGACTGACTCGTTGTCATGCGTCTAGAAAGTTGTAGGTCTTAGGGCATGAGCTCAGGCTGTCTCAACTCCAGATCTATGCTTTTCTGCTACACATTGTTGCTTCTCAGGAAGGAAGGCAGGAATGGTGCACCGGCAGGGTTTAGGGAAATATCATTATCCTTCTTCATTCCCATCTTCCTCTCTTCTCTGACATGGACAATTACTCTTTTTGTAATTAAATGCCAAAGGCTGTGCAAAGGCAGCTTTGAGCATCTCTTCCCATCGTAATTGCCACCCTTCAGCCCCTCCTATATAGAGGTCCTCAAGTCCCACCCGTGAGGAAGTTAACACCTGAATAAAGAAAGCGCTTAAATTTGAAGCAAAGCATTCAGATTTTCTCCTTGGAAAGCCCACAGATCAAACACCTTTTTCCCATCTACATTCTCCCCAACTCACGGCTGTCACGAAAGGTATACCAGAATAGATACCAGAACCCCGCTGACCCCAGCAAGGCCCCTGATGCCAGTGCTTGTGTTTGCAGGTTAGTGGACTTTGGACTGGTGTGTTACTCGGCCTCATCACAGCACAAGCTGACCAGTACATCTGTGCGATTCAGGGCGAGAGCCACTTACCCGGCCACCACGATCTCGAAGTCCCCATCGTGGTCCACGTCAGTAACTGCCACCCCATAGTTGAGTTGGGTGGGGTTGCTGTCGTAGTCAGGGGGCAGAACCGAGTTGGTGACTGCAGTGAACATGGGCTCAGCCCGCTGGGACCCTTCGGTGGTGGGCAGAAACCACATCAGCAGCAGAAACGGTAACATCCTGGACACCTGAAACCAGAAGTTACCGGTGGTCTGAGAGCTGTCTGGCCAGAGCAGCCCGTAAGAGCGACTCCTGGCAGGCAGGGTGCTCTTGTGCTCGCTCACAGTGGGCTTTGCAGGTATCGACTGCCACTTGACCGACCTCTTTAAAAGGGCAGCCCACCCCGTCGCATGCGATTGCCCTCCCTGGTGCTGCTTTTTCTTCTTCTATACCACCTTTCCCCACCACACCGCCTGCATGATCTTACTCATTACGCATGTTAGGTATTGTCCATTTCCCTCTACTAGAAAGGAGGCTCAAGCAGGGCAAGGCACTGTTCTGTTCACCTACAGTATCTGGCACATGTCTGTGGAAGGACAGAAAGAAGGGGGTGGGGAGAGGGAAAGGAAGGAAAGGAGTCAGGGGAGGTATAAGTACACAGGTATCTCCCATACTCCCAGAGACAGACTGGCATAATGAAGAAAGTAATGGACTTCAAACAGTGTGGGGGTAGGGTGAGATCCCCGTGCCGATCCAGGTCTAGAACAGAGAGACAGTGAAGGATTGTTCTTCTGTGGGACGTACCCCAGAGGGCCTGGAAGGGGTCTGTGACTTGGCAGGTCCCCCAGCCAGCGTTTCTCTCTGGAGCAGCTGGCCATGGCCTGCAGATAGGACGCAGCCAGTTAGGGAATGCATTCCGGCAGGATCTGGCGGGCAGCTCATCATTCACTTGGAGAAATTAAACCATTGCATGCGTGTTTTATTATAAATTAATTATGTATAATCCATTGTATAATTCATTATTATATCCCTAACATAACTCAGGGGGGTTGCCAAGCAGCCTGGGGCCACAGATGCCGGTGGCACATACCCGGGAGACAGATGAGAATAGCTAAGGAGGTGGAAAGACTCTGCCCCTCCTTGTGTGAACAGGGAGGCACTCAGAACACTACAGATGGCACCGCCCTGTCACTGCCCGCGGCCTAGGCAGAACTCACAGCGTGTTCTGGTGCTGCAGGAACCAGCCCCACAAAGCCTGGGAAAGTCTAGGCCCACAGGCAAGGCAGTGCCTTCCTGCCTTCAGCAGGCAGCAAACCCTTCCTGGTGGAACTTTTCCGACCAGCTTGTCGCGCGTCTGGCAGCCGGGAGCAAGGCTGAGCTGATGTCTTAATGAAGAGCTGATCTGAAGACTGACTCCCCATATGGAGACATTTGCTCCTGCCAGCAAATGAGCTTGTTCCAGTTCAGGACCCAACGACCAAAAGGAAGCACCTGGACACTGGCTTTGGAGCCAAACACGATTCAGAACCCCCCTAACGCCTGGTGGGAGGCTGCGGGGCTCCTCAGGGAGCCCTTCTGTGAAAAGGTTCTTAAGGTGCACTCACGGGCGCTGCCGGGGCTGCACTGTCAGAGTGAGGTCAGCCCAAATGACAGAGATGTCTGAGCAGCGTCTTCCGCTGTCTCACCACCAAAGGCAGGCGCAGCGCTGTGAGTGTGCACGACTTGGCAGGAAGCTTGGTGGGATAAAGGAAACTCATAACTAGATTAATGAGCAGCGGAATGAAAAGCTAAAGAGTATTTAATAACCAAGGTAGACACGCTGAAATGTAGCATGAAGCCCAAGGTCACTGGACTTTTCAAGGAATGACTTCTATTTAGGGTGACTCTCGGCTTAAGAGTCCAATCTGCTTGATTGGCACCTGCTTGAAAGCATCCCACAGTCAGTTTACACTGCTTGTGATGGACATGGAGGAGTGGGACCTAAAGCATGCCTTCCAGAAGCTAGTTAGTTCCTCCCAGGCAGCATACTAGAAGTCTGAGGTCACCGCCACCAGGTCCTAATATGATACAAGCAGTTGGTGGAAATTCTCTAATGAAGGCTACGAGGGACACTCTTGATTTTTACTTTTTATGTGAAAAGTAACACTTTCAATTAAAGGAGCCACATGAAAAAGTGTGACCCTATATAAGTTATTTCTAGATAAATAACCTTAAGCAAGATTAAAAAGAAATAACACACCTATGGGCTGGATTCTATCTTGCTTGGTGACCTTGAACAAGTCACAGCATCATTGGCTACCAGTTTTCTCCAAAGCTGGGCTTTGGGAGTAGATCTCTAATGGTCCATTTTGACTCCCAAATTTAATGATAAAGATGCCCCCCCCCCCGTTTCTTCTATAAACTTTAGACCAACCTGTGGTCTTTCCTTTCTGAGCATATTAAATATATTTTAGCAAAATAGCTTTTCCATAAGCTTCTACAGCAATCCCCTTCCAGGGGCCAAGGGAATGAGTCCTTGTTAGTGTGGAGCCTGAAATCCCCTGAATGAGACAGAGGAGGAAGGTGGCACTCAGCCAGGTAGGATGAGCATGGGGCAGGGAGAACATGTCCTATGCACCCCATTCTTCTGTCAGAGGCTCCCAGTGCACCAGGGTTGCTCAGTACCAGTGGAAGTTAGAGGGTGAGTGCGGGACTATCTTGATGGCGGATGGGGAAACAACAGTAGGATCTGTACTCTCTGGACCTCAAAGACCTCTCTTTATCTTCACATTTAGAGTGGTGCCCAAAGCAGCAGCAGCAGGAATTTGTTGGGCATGCAGAATCTTGGGCTCCATACCAGGCCTACTAAACATTTTTTTTGTATTTTTTTTTTAAGATTTATTTATTCATACAGAACTGGGGTACAGGCCAGAGACGGAGGGTGAGAGGATTCACCAGAGGCAGAGTGGGGAGCAGAACAGGCAGATGGACGAAATACACTGCTGAGGGGAGCAGCGGGCGGGTCAGGGGAGGTCTGCTGCACCATGTGGTCACCTCCGGGGCAGGTGGGGATCGAACTCATGCGGAAGTGGCTTAAGCTTCTTAGTGTTGTGTTTTAACCCGCTGCGCCACCAGGGAGGGCCCCTACTAAACATTTTAACAAGACTGTAGGTGATTTAAATGCATGTTGAGTTTTAAGAAGCTTTGTTCAACGTTAGCTGTATGCCAGCATCACTTGGGGATCTTTAAAAAATACTATTGTCTGATCATGATTTCTGGTATGACACCAGAATCATAGGCTACAAAGAAACAGTGGATAAGATGGACTGTATCTAGACTTAAAAGTTTAGTCCATCAAAGGACACTATCAACAGGGTGAAAGACAAAGTGGGAGAAGAGATTTGCAAATCCTATTTTGGATAAGAGTTGACTATCTAGAATATATAAAGAACTCCGACATTTCAACAACAAAAACAACCTGATTCAAAATGCCAGAGAACTTTAATAAAACTCTCCTACAGAAGACAAACATGTAAACACAGCACAACAGCACCATGTTAGGGAAAAGCAGATCAAGAGCATGATAACACTTCACACTCTTAGGATGGCTACAATAAAAAAATCAGAAAATAACAATTGTTGATGTTGATGTAGAGAAATTGGGACCTTTATGCATTGCTGGTGGGGAAGTAAAATAGTGTAGCAGTTCTTCAAAAAGTCTAAAGAAAAAGTAAACTATTATAATAAAAAAAAGTCTAAGTACAATTACCATGTGATACAGTAATGCCACCTGTGAGTATATACCAGAGATGGTTTGAAATGCACCGCAGCTCGTAGCAGCATCGTTTACAATAGCCCAAAGGTGGAAGCCAGACAAGTGGCCATCAGAGGTTGAATACCTAAGCAATGTGGCTTACACATACAAACAAATATTGTATGTCTTAAAAAGGAAGGAGATTTTGACATTTGCTATAGCATAGATGAATATTTGCATGAAGACATGCAAAGAGAATGAAGTGAATCATGAAAGGATATGAACAGTATGATTCCACAGTTGTCAAATTCAGAGGCAGGAAGTGTTCTGGTGGTTGCCAGGGGTTGGGGGGATGGGAGAATGGGGAGTTAGAGCTTAATGGAAATGGAGTTTCATTTTTGGAAGTGAAAAAGTTCTGGAAAGTGAGGGTAGCGATTGTTGCACACTAACGAGGAAAGTGTTTGTTACTGAACTGTAGACTTAAAAATTGTTAAAATGCTAAGTTTTGTGGTATGTATATTTTACCATTACAAAAAAAAATCACATCCAAAATAGTCTCACTTACTTGGCATGGAGTGCAGCAGGAGCCTCAGAGTTTTAGAGCTCCCCATGTGGTCCTAATATGCTGCACAATTTGAGAAACACTATTTTATACCAGTGCTTCTCACACTTTAATGGGTGTGTGAATCACCTGGTGGTCTTGTTAAAATACAGGTTCTGATTCCAGAGATCTGCAGTAGGGTCCAAGAGTCCGTGTTCCTAACCAGCTCCCGGGTGAACCTAATGTCCTGCCCATAAGCTATGCAGTGCCTAGGAAGCTTCCACACTTTAGCTCTGAGAGTGAAGAAGCCAGGCTAAGTACCACCATGGAGGCACCGGATTGGTATAAGAAGCTACAGGCAGATCACCAGCCTCTAGATCGTAGGAGCGGAAATCAATCGATGTTTATGCAGTCTCCAGGGCTGCAGGCTCAGTCTATCATTATACATTCAGGTACTGGCTGTCTTCAGCTCAAAGTCAAATTACCACAATTGACGTAGAGTGACAAAGAGGGATACTGACTCTAATTTTTGCGAAGGTGTGGGAACAGGGGAAAGGTTGGAACTGCAGGGCATCAGGTCAAGGAGACGAGAGAGCGCTACCACGATAGGTCAGAGCCTAGAGAAAGTAGGATATGGACACAAATTTGCAGGCTGAGATAGAGAAAAATGCCAACCTGTTCCCCAAAGCCATCAAATGCTCAAGTAATATTTGTTAAATGAAGAAAGGAAGACTATGTCCCTATGTCCAAATGATGTGAAATCGCAGAAACTGCTTGCGACCAGACATTCAGCTATTTAAAAACCATCCTTCCTTCAAACAGTGCTTCTCAAGTTCCATCATGCTCAGGAATTGCCTGAAGGAATGTTGGTAGGACGCAGATTCAGTTCTGGTGGATTGCAGGTGGGGCCTGAGCCTTCAGGTGCAGTAAGGCTGCTGGCCTCAGGCTCCACATCCAGAGGCTCTAGTCCAGTG